GAAGCTTTTATTTTGTTTTGTTTTTTTATTATTATTGTTTGAAATTAATTTAGGAAAAAAGGGACAGATATAAGATTTTTTTCTTCTTTCTGCCTTTTTTCATTTCAAGTGTGATTTATTTTCTTTATTGTGTATAAAATTTTTATTTTTATATGAAACGAATAAATGAAATTTAAAAGAATGTGATTTTTTAGGGAGTTTTACTGCCTGATTAAAGCCAGACCTGTGGAACACAGAAACACTCACTAATGAAGAAAACCTTCCTAAAATGACTCCAAGACCTCATCAACGACTCATCTAGGAGGTCCCAAAAACCCCAGACCAACATCTACAGCCCTGCAGGCTTCCCCTGCCTCAGCAAAGGTTCAAGATTCAACAATAAGAAAGAGACGAAGAGTGAAAATGGCCTCATTGGGAGAAAAGAACAAAACCACAGCTGAAAAGAAGAAAAAATAACTCAAAGGTTCAGATTACATTTTCACATGATTAAACATGGAACTTTCTGAAAGGTGCGAGTTAGACTTGGTGGTATGACAGTATACTGAGACATGGTGACTATTCAAAAATTGTAACGGTATATTAACCCTCTGGAGCCTAGTCACGTGACCTATTTAAACCACTCTGGCCAGAAAGATGCACCAACTCTGAAAGTCTGTTTCAGTTTGTGTCAAAAATAGACTTCAATCTTTAACCTAGTTTTTAAATCATAAAGACAGGCTAAATAAAGCTGGAGTTTTTATAAAGTATATGTCACTCTTTTCCTGAACATGACCGTCCTGTTTAAAGCATGTTGCAGCGTCAGGAAGCAGGAAACACAGCAGTCTCATGGAAAAAACACTGCAATCTAGTCAGTGTCATACCTCTCTCGAGGTGAAAACAAATACCCCCCAACCTCCTTTTTGACTGAGGCCCAAAGTCATCTGACAATTACCAAAAGCTCTACAGGAAGAAAAAAATAAAATAAAAATATTCTCTTGAAAAACAGTCCAAACGTTTCAATGAAGAAGAACGAGGTGACCTACTCAACATTTTGTAGATAACGCAACATGTCACAGACATGCCCCACCCCAGTAATACCCTACAGTATTTCTACATAGAATATGTCGGTATGAAATCAATAACGCCCAACCCTAGTATGAGTAAAACAGTCAAACACGGAGGTGGGATTGTGGTGGTCTGGGACCTGGACGACTTGCTGTAACTGATGGGRCCATAAATTCTGCTCTCCACCAAGAAGATCCTGAAGGAGAATGTCAGGCCATCTGTTCATGACTTTAGGCTTCAGCTGATCTGGATTCTTCATCAGAACAATGAGCCTCATGCAAGAACCGTTCGTACGCACAGATTTGTTCTTAAGTTGTGCGTACGAGTGATTTAGGAGAATTTGTGGCATTCACCAATGTATTCTGAGATTTTTTTCAGATACGAACAAAATTCACGAGTGGTCCAGACC